GGATAGTATTTACACACACACACACACACACACACACACACACACACACACACACACACAGAGGATCTTTCATTTGGATTACTCTAAAGCCAACCCTGAGATGAGCTTTTAAGCATAAGTAGTTTATGCGTGATGTGAAGGAAATACTGGGAGGGGAATGGGAAACGGAGGCAGGAAACGAACTAGAAATTACAGAGTATACTTATTACAACCAGCAGTTACTGCTGGTGACTAGAGTTACTCTTGCTGCGAAGCTCTGGGAAACACACGCCTCCGTGTTATCCCACTCAGAGTGAGGATGCTGGGGTATCTATATGCCATCTCCCATCACTGGCTGAAGGCTGCTGGGGGACTGTTAATCCTCTAGTCCATGAAGCTCATGAAGCGAGACACATAGGTGGGAAAAGTAGGATTCAGTGGCCACAGAAAGCCCACAGGTAAAGAAATGCAGGTTCTGGAAGGTGGCAGCTGGACGCACATGCAGTGCAATAGTGAGAGTAAGGGGATGTGGGCAGGACACAGACACGGTCAGCGAGGAAATGCCTCCATATATTTTAACACAATCAGCCGATACCTTTGGATGTCATCCCGTGAGGCCACAAAAGTATACAACAGGATGGCAAATGCAAGTTGCTTTGACTATGAAATGATTGCCTTCATGGATTTCAATTAAACTGATTGAAATTTTTAATTCAAAATTCTGACTAAATCTGTTTTGTGCCATCGCTGAGCTTGGCTGGGACCTGTTTCTGCACAAGCCATGTTTGGCTATAGTATTTTAGCACTACAAACGACTTTGACAACCATTAATCACTTCGCATGCTCTGCTGAGTGCTGTTACATGCTGTATGTGCTACCTCACTGGATCTTTAATGAAAGCTTGGGAGACGTGTTTGGTTATTTTCACATTATATAACAGAGGACAGAGGTTCAGAGACTTGGAGTAAACTGTCCTGGGAGTTTTATTTTTTCTTCCTCATAGTGTCTGTTAAGCCCATCTCAGTCTCCGGGAGATGAAGAAGGACCATGTTGCAGTGGATCCAATAAATGAAATTACATTTTACACAAGTTACAAACAACCTGTGCAACTGTCAAAAATGCAGAATAAGAAACACTTTTTTCTTTGTTTTTTGGTGCTTTCATAAATTCTTTTTTTTTAAGAAAACAGGCTTAGAAGTTGGGAAAAGTTCAGAGATGATAAAAGAAAAGAAGATCCTGAACCTAATAAAAAAATAATATTTAATGTAAACTGTAATTAAAGAAAATAAATAAATAAATAATATAATAATGAGAGATCATGAGGAATTTCTCCACTATAGGGAAAGGTAGACAACTAAATGACTCATATAATTTAGACATAATCCTCATCACAAATGGTGGGTTTTGCTCCCTTTATATCCATGAATCTAACCATCATATGGTCAGACACCTTTCATTGCCAGTATACCAAATCAGTGGTTCTCAAAGTATGGTTCATTAGAACCTCTTTGGAATTGTTCCTTCGAGTGACCTAGAAAGTATTTAAAAATGAAAAATCTCAGGTCCCACCCCAGACTCACTGAATTGGATATCCTGGGGTGGGGCTCAGAAGTCTGCATTTTAACAAGGCCTCCAGGTGACTCTGATGTTCACTCAACTGTGAGAATCAGTACTCTAGTCTGTGACCCATAAATGAGAAAAGCAAATGCATTTATGTAAGTGGTGATAAGCACTGGGACTACAGTTACCATAGTGTAAAAAAATTTTTAAAAAGAAGAAAACAGTTAAAACTGAAATTCTAGAGTGTTTTGTTTTTTTCTTCTTCAAGAGTTTAATGTAAAGTTTCGGCATATAGTCATTGCAGGCCTCCAAAAGAATTTTAAAGGAAGATGTTTCATCTCGAACACTCCTATAGGCTCTTTTATGTTAACTGAAAAGTTTTGTTAATAGGAGAAAAAAAAAGTGATCAAAATAGCATTATCACCTTCAAGCAGAGCACAGGAGAGCAAAGTAAAGAAACAGAAGGAGGCGTCTCCTTTTTCTCTGAGTAAATCGGGGAGAGATGTTAAAGCGGGTGTCAGTCACTTCTGACAATAAAGATAAATTTGCTCTTAATATGAGCACCAGAGGAGGCCCGCACAAAGTACTATCACTACCCTCTAGAGCAGGGGTGGAACCTTTTTTCTGCCAAGGGCCACTTGGATATTTATAACATCATTCACAGGCCATATGAGATTATCAACTTAAGAATTAGCTTGCTATATTTCGTCAAGCATTTAATTGAGTTTATTGAATTCCGAATCCCTCCTGCAGTTGCCTTGGCAAGGCCAGGCCAAATGATTTCTACGGTTCCCCATCTCTGCTCTAGAAGATAGTGAAACAGACCTAAAAGCGATTACCTTGATTGGCAGGCACAAAACAAGAAATAGGATCTTCTGGCCAACTCCCATTGCTCCTGTTGCCAGAGGCTGTCTGAGCTCTTCTGCTTTTCAATATTAACCCCAATGCACCAATTTTGTAGCTAGATCGGTTACTTAAACATGCAAGTCAATGTAGACTAATTGGTTGGGCCACTCGTTTCAAAGACTGTTTACAAAAATCGAAAATTTGAGACAGTCTGCTCTCCAGTACTGAACAAGAAAAAAGGGATCTAACTAGGTGGTTAGCCAGACAGGCCAACAGTGCAAGGAGAGAGGGAAGAGGGCCAGAAGAGGGCCGGAGCCAAAGGAAGGAAGCAGGAGAAACAGCAGCTGAATGAATACAAGCTGACTGTTGGTTATCTCCTTAGGAATCTGAGGCAGTGGCTGGATAGTACTAGAAGAGATGGTGAGAACAGCCAGGAGGGAATTGAGATGTGAGGGGAAAGGCCATAGTGAATATAAAAAGATAGTATGGATGACAATGTAACAGCACAGATGGCCAAACTTCATGTAAGCATCTCTGAGGGAGTAATGAAACAAAGACAAGAGTCCAGATGCCTTATTCTAAATTAGAATCCCTCTGATGGCCACTACAGGAAGTTACTAAGCTCATTGAGTGTTAAGATCAGCATCTTCACT